AATAAACAAATATTATCAGTATTAATAGTTGATAAATAATACAAATAAACGCATAAAAGCAAAATTAAAAAGGATAAACATAGAGTTTTTGTGGTAACGCAAATAAAAAATTGGAGAAAAGTGGGGAAAGATGAATGAATTAGGATATATACTCACTAAGAAAACTTCGACACCGCCGATTAAGTACATTGCTGCAGCAATAGTCGTCCCTAAGTAGAATAGAATGCCTACGGCACCACCGAACTCGGGACCAATAGATCGAGAGATCATAAAGTACGAACCCCCAGCGGGCACTTTACCATTAGTAGCGATAGCAGACATACTGAGAGCCGTCAAAGTCGTCTGATAGAAAATATGGAAGCCATGAAGAATTAAAAATGTAGGAATATTAAAAATGTGAGCGTAAATCGAAGATATGAAGCAATATATGATAAAACAGTAAATCAAAGATAATGTTAGGATAGAATTAAAAATTAAAATTAAAGTCGCAATTTAGGAGTTGTAACGAATTAAAAAAAAAGAGGCCATGAGATTATATCCTGCCGAATTTTGAAGCAAAATTGTCTGTCCTTGAATTGGGAGAATAAAAAGGGCAATATTTTTCGTATAGAGGAGACACGCACATAGGTTGCGATCCGAAATGGGCTTTAAATTCATGCTAAAGTAAGGCTTCTTTTCTTGTAAATTTTAGAGCGTCCAGGAGCTAATGGGGCGACATGGACAAAGATTATCTTAATTATGTAGTATATAATTAATACAGAAATACTTGCGTATCTAGCGAGATCAAAATTTCACAAAAAAGAAATACATTGGTAAATGTAAGAGGCAATAGTCACCTAGAAAATTCAACAGCTTTAAATGGCCTAGCTAATGACAAGAAAGGAGGGGAAAATGTGGATATAAAACCTATTTTTTTAATGATGCCATCCAAGTGGGACATAATCAGGAAAATTGCAAGCATGGTTTTGCAACGGTACATAACCGATATTTCCCATATTTTCGGTTAATGAACTGTGAACTGCTTCACCTCTCAGCATAATCTGCCAATTTAGTTGTCCCCAAAGATGAATCAGCACCTAGTGGTATTCTTGATTGTATTAGAAAGTGCTCAAAGAAAAGATTATCCGTCAATTGTCACGCATTATCACTCCTGAAATTATATACTAGAGTAATATTAAACAGTAAACAGACTCCGAAGGCGCCGAGATTCATAAAGCGATCTTATATCCCACTTATATTTTTAAAAATTTCATTTTGGAAAATGATGACTAAGAAAATATCAATCTATCCACAACCAAAAACATGTCACAGAATCCTCATAATAATACAATAATACTAAGATCACTATTCAAGGCAAATTCTGAATTTATGATCTCACAACCAGGTTTCCATCAGTTGTCGGGTCTTAATTAATGGTATGCATTTTCATTATTATTAGATATCTGGTAAGCCTATCGATTACAAAACGTAAATGCCGTGCAAATGACATAAACTACAAATGTAAGTTAACCCAAACATATCGTACTCTATATTAGGAAGCAAATTAGACCAAGTTGTGGTAAAATGTGACTAGATCGAGAAGTACTTCTTAATAATTGCAAGGCTAGAGCAAGTTAAAGAAGATATGAAGAACAGGATGGTGTGGCATTTTTGTATGGTCGCGGTCTCCTTTAGTCGTATAGAACTTGTTTGACCTTGTATTCGCAACCTGGGCATATTTAAGGAAGACCTAGGGCAATGCACCTCATCCGGAGTTCATAGTATGCATGAAAATTTCCAGAGTTAGGTAGTGTACTTGGTACATGTCCAGACGTTTCACGGGCATCGTAGTCAGCATCGTCAATGAGTCTTGCCATTCTCAGCTACCAAGCTACATCTCATCAAAGAGACAAGTGAATTCAAAACCTTGGCCCGTAGGTCAGTTTTTTCTCTTTCTCGTTTACCGATTTCACTCGGCTCCAGCCCCAGCCTACTTTTACTCCAGGTACTATTTCTCAAGTCTTCCAGTAGCACGTACAAAGTCGCCTTATCTTAAGAGCGCCTAGGCTCTGATTACCATGCCTGCGGATATTAGGCATTAACATCACACATCATCTCATCTATTAAACCCGTGTGCCCTGAGCAAACTGTGGACATCTCACTCTAGTCGTCAGCTGCATCTCAAGTGAATTATTAGCACATTTGGTCACATTTCCTAATTTCTTTGAAACAATCCTTCTCTCTAGTTACGTGAAACTTCTATATAAATAAAAGAACTTTCTCTATCCCAAAAGGGGTCTTTATATGATTACTTTTCGATACTACATGTAATTTATGAATAAGAGTTTAGTACCCTATGTCTAATGAGGTAATTTAAGGACTGATGGTTGTGCTTTCCAACAAATAGATTGCTGGGCTCAGGATGCATTTAAATTTCACTTAGACTTGCCTCTCAAAAGACTATCTCATCCAGGGTTATGCCTTTTAGGAAAGAAATCAAAGTGAAATTCAATAGTATCGTGAAGCCTTATAATTTCATTGGGCAAAAACTCAACCACCAGTCCTTAAATAACCTTACGCGAGCGAGATAAGCAGAATTACCATGGATGATTTAGCATAGACTATGGACAGTGTTGCCAAGATTGTCCAAGGAGAATATAAAACTGTTATATAATTGGATTGGCATGATGTAATTGGCAAATATAATACAAATAACTGATCCATCGAAAAGAAAAATATCTGTCCGAGTTAATTTGATAGCTCACTTAATAATATTTTTTTAGTAAAGCAATAGTAAATAGTTAAATAAGAAAATAAAGGTATTAAGGATAAATTAACTTTCCTTATAAAGATCAAAAGGCGTTTGGGTACTAAAACCACCCGTATGGAAAAGAGGGATAGTGGCCATGACAAACAGGAAACTTCATAACAAATAGATTAATAAAGTTGGTTATTAACAAGAAAAAGCACTAGATTGATCAAATTGAAGCCAGGACAAGAAAGCATAAAACATGGATTAGCGATTATTATAAGTATTTATTGAGAAAATCGTTCATGCTAGTCGGCTATCCAAAAGATATTAGCTGCGTTTGAAATAAAAGTACAAAGACAAAATGATAATAGGGCAAAATCGAGTCTGTTTTAGAGAAAGTTTGTGAAATAAATAAAAAATATTCAATTGCAAAATGTGCCTAAATAGCAGCAAAATATACTGAAAAAATGTCGGAAAAAATTAAGGAATTCTCATACTTAAATAACAATCTAACTTTTCCTCGTATATATTAAATACGAAAAGATAAGTGTATCCATCGAGGCATCAAGATAATATAAGGAATTTATGAAAGGGGTACGGAAATAAGCAAATATCCTGTCTTGAAAGTAAAATAGAAAAAGGTAGATGAGCATTCTAACTATTAGACTATATTGTTGTTGAATCGACTTGTGTTTGGGATGAAATTGTTTGATACAGAGATTCATAGGTCGATCTGACAAAAAGATGAAGGCAGGTTAGTCATTGTCTGCAGTAGTTGTGTTTTGTTGGAACTTTTAGGTTGACACAGTACTCAGGAAATCTTGAGATGAAAAATTGATGAGCTTTCATTTATCATGCCAATTGGCATAAAAGATGTAAACAAGAACCACTGCACGCCAGTAAATATCGCGTTTATAGGCTGAGAAAACTAATCGACTTCAAGTATATGAATACTTAGTTATTTCTTTATGATATTTGCAGCAACATGTATGCATGCATATGCGAACATACGAAACCAAAGTGATAATCCTGAGTAATCAGGACAGAACAAAAATCCAGGAATTAAGGTCAAGGCTTAGTGCCATTTACTATCCGACTCATTACTACCATAATACAATGCCAGGAAGAGTAATCAAGATAAGTACTTCTTGCTTAGCTTTTACCTTCATTCTTAGCATTTACTGTTTCCCAGTGTGTTGAGTTCACTGGCCTCTCTAATTTTGCGTTTTTAAATATATATATATATCATAGTTTAATATAAAGTGCTAAGACCAAGGTGGAGTAGTCTTTAAAATGGTAGCTGTCCCCTTTCGCCATATACAAGTGGTTTGACGTCGTTTTCGCAACGGGGTCTTATTGTCAGAAATAATTAGATTGAAGAACCTTGTCCAATAATATCAATTATCATTTCCAGTAAAGGATCGTGTAGTTAGTGCCTTCCTAGACGTTGCGTAGACATCGTAATCAGCAATGCTCACTAATGATGCCAGCACAACGTCTGGGAAGGTACCAAGAACACACGGTCCGACGCAAGAAATTATGATTGATATTATGACATATGACTCCAAACAAGGTTCTTTCATTTAATTATCTTTGGCAATATGATCAAGTTAAGAAAAGGACGTCAAACTACGTCTAAAGGACGAAGGGAGATAGCGAAAAGCTTAAAGGCCACATCACCTTGGCCCATACACTTTCTATTAAACTATGTTATTTATATCGAAGGTATGAAGACAAAGATGGTGTGGCCTTTTGTGTGGTCGCAGTCTCCTTTCGTTGTATAGAAGTTGCTTGACCTTGTTTTCGCAACCTTGTCCGGAGTCCATTGTATGCATGATCATTTCCATAGTAGGACCGTGGACGTAGTACATTCCCAGACGTTTCGCCTGCATCGTCAGTGAGTTTTACCATATTACAACTCGTCAAAGATACAAGTGAATCCAATCCTTTGACCAAACGTGTGCTAAACAGTTGTGATATCTCCCCTTATGCCCTAGGCTATTCGCATGTCCTATATCCTTCTATCACACCTTCATTGTCACCATTTTTTACTTGCTTAATTAAATGTGATACGATGTGCCCTTTTGAGCGGCTTTCATGAGAACCCACCGCACTCCACGCTGGCCTTCTCACCCCCCTTCATTCTCGTGCTGGAAATGCTGATCAGAGTCTGCCATATTGTTACGCAGTCCTCCTTCCCTAGGTCTTATCATAGTCTCTCTCTTGCCACGTAAGCTCCGTCTGCCCTCTCCCTGGTTCACATATTTCACTCGACCCCTGCCACCTCATCTCTCCAGGGGTGCCCTATCTGCGTCTAAGTGACTAATTCGAGGCTAAAAACTCTAAGTCTTATGGTCAGGCCTTTGCAACATGGACCACTTCTCTTGTAAAAACTACTGTCAGCCCACTAGCTCCCATCGCCGCCGCGTCTATCCTCTTTCTATCTCTAATACCAAGTCTATGACTGCCCATGCTCTAGTCTCTTGTGCGCCAACCCACAAATGTTGTGGTACTGTTTGCTTTGATTAGGTTCAATATTGATCTACAACGTTTGTGTGTTGGCACACAAGAGACTAAGGCATGGGAAGTC